GGAGACTTTTTCCCCCCCTTCCTTCAGCAAATCTTTCAGCCAACCTTTGACAAAGTCTCTTCTAGACCATTATTTCCAAGTTCCAGTGTGAGCAGTCAGGTAAGGAAATGAAACAAATATTTTCCCATGTTTCTCAGTCACTAATAGTCACATATTAAAGAATAAACCTTTATTTTGCCCACTAATAGTAAAAACATTTCACTTCCTGCACACCTGTTTTTCCTATTCATGGCACAGCACGTTTCTGTTGTGCAAAGTCATACTTCTGTTAGGAGAGCAAGCTCTGCCACAAATACAATTTTCAGTCAAATAAACTCAAAATCAGATTAAAAGATTGGGCTTTACCAGCTGTTAGATGAACCTGCTTGCCTCTCTGTAACTACTTCTGCTACTATATTCTTTGCTATAATCTTCTTTCTTAGTATCACTGAACAACAGGGGTTGAGGACTGTAATAAAAATCACCTAATAACCCTTGTCTTCCATATAAGTCCTCCCCACCCCCCAAATTATCACATTGGGGCAGGTAGTGCTATCAAATTCTGTACAACTTTACCAGTGCCTCATGGAGGGGGAAAAAAGGACTATTATTAGATTAGGATGTGAAAAAGGGGGTTTAAAATCATCAGTGACAGAAATCTCCAAATTAGTCCCAACAGCCGCAAGATGCTATGCAAAGCCTTAGAGAAATACGCACTTGGATAGTTACAGCATTACAGCCATGGCAGTGGTAACAAAGGGCCTAAAATAACAAACCTTGTTAAGAGAAGCTTACTGAAAAGACTGCAGACAAGTTCAGAAGACAGAATTACAAATGTGTTTTTTGCCAGACTTCTACTCCTAACATTTACAAGATATATGCTCAGTCAACAAAAGATTCGTTTCCATTTTGGAAATACTGTATATAAACCTGACTATGCTGTGTGATATTTATCTGCATGAAATATTAAATTTACTTTTCTTCTGGCTGCTATCTTCTAGGTTTTTTTCCCTTGTTTTTCCCCCTCGCACAGAAGGGTTTTTTTTTTTTTTTGCTATGGTTACTGCAACCGCACTGCTAGGGTTGCTAATATCTATAAAAGCTTAAAAAACACAGAGGTTATTTATAACCTCCGTTGAAGCCTTCCCTCCAGATAGTAGCAAGAAATCGAAAGTGGACATACTGAGAGCAGCAAGGAGGCAGATTCGTTTTTTGTTTACTTCTTCATCAGTGAGGAACCAGCTAGCCACTGAAACATTCATTGAAGTTAATCACTGGAAAACATTATTTATTTATTTAAATAAATAAAATTCATTCTCCCCTCCCCTTTTTATTTTGCCTACCAGACGTATTTGAGCTTACTTAAGAGCTGTTTCAGGAAGCCCTATGATCTGGCTATTTCGGAGGTCAGATTTACTGATCATAACTTCCCTGACTTAATAATTTGTGTACTGCCATTGTCTCCAAGTGACAGGGAAAGGGACCAATCGCTATATTCTTTGCAACATAGCTATATTTCAAAAAATTATTACATTTCATGTGATGAAAGAGAAATATCTCCTTCTAATGAAGTTGACATCGACTACTAAATGCAGGAATCTCGATGTATCTCCAACTTAGATACAAGCTGTATTTCTGAACTTTTCTAAAAAACGAAAAAAACCCACACAACACTAAAATAAAAAAGATAAGCTAATGTTAAAAATCAAAGTTTTCTCTCTTTAGAGAAAACCTAAGCTATCAAAGGAAAAAAAAACATAGGAAGTGTTTGGTCTTTCTCAAGCTTTGGCTGTATCATGCAGTCAGATGCAGCTATATTTCCACTGGAAATATAACTGGAGAGGATGAATGAGAGATATTAATGGCACAGTGAAAACGAAAAAGCAAGCAAAAGCAAGCAAAATACCTGGATAAGGTGTTTAACATAGTTGATAGATGATTGCAAGGAACAGGCACTAGTTTCACCTTGTGTGAAACTAGAGAAGCCATGAGAAGAGGACTTATTTTTGTACTGAAGCAGCTAATAACATAGAAAAATAGCACTAGGATTAAAGAGAACAACATTTCTTAAAATTCTAGCCTAGATTGGATAAAACAGTTAGAAGTTCTGTTAGCAATTAGAATCTACTAACCTTCCCCCTCAACAACAAAAAACAATCTACCCTCCTTTAAAGTAGGAGGATCTACTAGAGTTCAGTATGTTCTGCTTATTAAAACTGCTCTTTCCACACTGTAAAAATATTTAAAGCAGTAACCAGGATATGGGGGTTTGTCTTATCAAATCCATTTCAAAGTAAGGAGCAGACAAACACAACTCTACAAGAAGACACTTATAATGCTATCAACATGAATGAACAAAAAAATCAATTCAGCATACATTCTGAAATCATCCATGAAATGCTATCCAATCATACATGCACATAAAATGAGCTATTTGTAAGAGTTCAATATAAGTCAACAAAATATCATAAATTATTCAAATTTGAGATTCCAAAACAATTTTTCATCAAAGATTATTTGTTGTAGACAATATTTCAGCAGTGTTTTTTATCTTAAAAGAAAAAACCTTACAAATTAAATACAACATTTACCCAGGTTTCAAGTTATTTTAAGCACTTCAGTTAAATACAATATTGATTCAATCTTGCAATCCTAATTTTATTAAGTGAATTCATACCCAGCATAATTGTTTTTCCCTTCTGATCCTGTAACATTTTGAAATTTGTGTAATCCATTAGAAAAATAAAACACAATAGCATGGGAATGAAGGAATGGACCCAACACAACACTACATACAAAGTTTCTCTCTCTGGGTGCTTTCCTACGGCCATTCAAAAAAACATTTACAATTCTTCTGCAATTTACATTACCGCTGCATTCCATGGATATGCCTTTTATGTAATGTAGGGAATATTTACAAGAATGCCTGTAAAAGCAGTGGCCTAGTACCACAAATTCACAGAGTGGGAAAAAAAAAGTTTCACTATTTTTAAAACTCATGAAAAAACATCACTTGTATTGTGCTGCACACAGCACAATATGTAGGTAAACGTACATTTCCTTGGACGTGAAACAACAAAAACTCAATAAGAGCACTAAAAGAGATAGAAGACAGAGAACACTGATCACATTTTTGCTGTTTATTGTCATACCTCCTAAAGCTTAATGTGTAAAAATGCAAACATAAGAGGTGTATTTTGCATATCCAGTCACTTTATTTTAATATGATTTCAATTTTCTGCTAGCACTTTCTCATTAGAGTATTCAGCACTGTATCAGATAAACCAGTAAGCTATCAAACTCAACAAAAATGTAGGCAATTCCTACTTGCTTAACAAGCAAGTAAAATAGGGCATACATAAAAGGTGAAGCTAAATTCTTGTGCTCCCTATTTTATAACTTCTTCTACAGGCACTACGGTCACCCACATAGAGAGTCCCGCATGGAGATAGTGATGTCAGAAATGTTTTTGGCGAGATCTCACCTCCTTCCCCCCCCCACCATGCACGTTTCTTTCCTACTCCTCACCTCTTTTGCTCCATGCCTATTTTACGTTCTAGAAAAGCATTTTTAACACTGGGGTCTTCCAACCATTTCCACAAGTCGCTCCATCAGATACAAGTTTTTTCAGGTTCATTGTATCAATGACTTCTGAACAATAAGGAAGTAAGAGCACTACTAAATTCTCCTTTGCAAAGACTTTTGTTTTTAAAAATCAGTTATTGGAGGAGGAATACACAAAATCTGCACATAGCTCTTACAGATGATCATGTGTGCTTAATATTGTTATAGGATAAAGGTTAAGCATAATATTGTTTGACCCCTTCAACTACTGACATTCATGCCATGTTATTGTTAGTGTTGCATGTTAAGCAAGCAAATTTTCAATGAACTTGTGTTGGCTTTACCACAGACACAGATGTCAGGCGGACTCCTTTGTTCATAAGGTTCTCATTATTAACTGAAACTAAGTTGAATATTTGACTGAAGGAAAGGACCATATCATTGTTTTCAGATTTTGCTCTATGACTTAACTGAACTACATCTGCCAGCTTTGGAAATACCAAGTACTTCTTGGCGCCAGTACTGGCGCCTTACTCTATGACTACCATCTTAAGTGCTTCAGATTGAGGAAGTCTACTAACCATCAAAACAGTTTAATAAAAACTTAAAATTATGATTAAGCGTTACTCACTAGCTGACTGAATGCACTGAAATTTTTTCTACTTATGAATAAATCCATAAAAATAAGCAAATCATAGCAAACTGAATGCATAGCTGTAAATATGTAACCTAGAAAGTTTGCAAGATGTTTTTGTGATTTATGAAGTCTGTGTTTTACTTAAAACCATATTTATTTAATAGATAGGCTGGCACTTCACAGGATAATTCAATCTGCTTCAAATCTATTCAAAGCCTTTGGGAAACATAACGGATGCTCTGAATATAAATGTAATTCCACTTTTCACCTTTTTGCACTACTGTCTCTTAGCATAAATGTAAAAAGTATTGCACTCCCTCCAAAAGATCTCCCCCTATAAAGGGCTGTTGAAGATGAAAGAACTCCAAAGTTTGTGCTAAACCACATATAGGAACTGTTTTATATAGCAAATCAATTAATTGTTTTAATTCACATTTTTTGGATATCTCCTGGTGCTAACTGAATTAGAATAAACAATACATCAAACTTTCTTCCTCAGAAAGACCAAAATAAAAGACACTAGATTTCATATGACTTAGATAATTGATGTCAAAAGTATAAATGGCAATTCTGCAAATAAACAGCCAACTGATTTCACTGATTCAACTGATTTATTTTCTATACCGTACAAGGAAGTATGATACCGCAAAAGGGAAGATAAATGCCAGAACAAGCTATTTTCAGAAAAATAAAGCTTAAAAAACCCCTCATATTACTTGAATTTATTTTACATATCAAATGAAAGGATGGAAATAATTATCATTTCCAATTTCTTAACAATGGAATCTGGGCTAGAATCAACAATATGCATTTCACTTACCGTGCTGAATGTCCCTCATGTCTAAATGAAGGCTAGACATTAATATTCCAACAGCTTGAGATCTTTTGTTACTTAACAACTTGACAACCTGCCAAAAGAAACCCATCTATTAGCATTCACCTGCATGAAAACGTTACAAGATATTTTGCATTACTAGTAACAAATTCAAGAAACAGTACCTTGTAATCTATATCTGTCTCTAAGAATGAGTAATTTTATTATTTTCAAAATGTGCTTCTGCTGCATAAACCCATCAGAAGTGTAGATAATCATGACTTCTAGTTGAATTTTAATCCTAATGGAATCACTATAAAGGCTCCCCCAGATTTCATCCTTCATTAGGATGTACACTTTCAACTTCACACTGATGTTACTGAGCATATGAAACAGGCTGTCATATAAAAAAATTCCAACTGTGTCTATCCTGGAGTTGCTTTGGTTTCCAAAACCACACAATAATTTCCATCTTTGATGTAAGCTAAAACTGTGAGAATTTGTATTTTATTTGAATGCTTGACGTACTAGGCGCCAATATGAATTTTATTTAAAAAGCAAAATAACCATGTACATATTGGGATTTTCTTTGATCACTTTTAGGCAACACAAAAGCTCACAAATCTTTTCCATTTTAAAATAAACAACAACAACAAAGATGTCAAAACATCTTGCTCTAGCAGGTTAAAATTAGCCATTAAAACATACTTTTGTACATACTTGCTTTGCAAGCACAAAAGCAACAAATAATTCACAGACTGTATTCCAGAGGACTCTAAGCTATTTCAATTCAGCTTACTGTAAATTTTATACCACTAGAATGAGAAGCAAGTAATGATAGGAAAGGATCCTTATCTAGAAAACAATGTGATCCTAGATAAGTAAGTTTTCAGTGTAGGGCTACAACCGTTACGTGGATAACCGCTTATATTTAATCTGCTCACGTTGCTGAGTTTTACATTGTACTAAACACACTGAAGAGGAAAACTTTTGTTATTTGTGAAACATTTGGAGAAAAGAAAACAACTCAGATAATTAGAACTGTAAGTTAAAGTTCTTTTCACATTGCATTCAGGTAGCGTATATTTTTTTCAGGTCACGGTTTAAAGCTTAGCATCAAGATGCTATATCACCTACTTTCCCAATGGACAAATTAGTTTGCAGAAGTGCAATTAGAAAAAGTAGAATAAATTTAGCTAGAATAAATAACCTCATAGTCTAATTCATATCTTAACATCATAAAAATACCCACAAGATGTTTTCTCTGTGGTATTGCCACCTTTGATTCATTTAAGTCTTCACATAAGTCCATATGTGTTGGCAGGTTGATGTCTGAGCAGTAGCTGAAGAGAAAAGAAAGCTTGGCCCAGAAGTCTGCTGCTAGACTGCTCAGAAAAGGAAACCTGAGAAATTCTAAGTGCTCGTAGTACAGGTTTTGTGAGGATGTGGTTAGTTAGGCAGTCGCTTAATTTATTATATTATTTTTTTCCGTAAGCCTTCATAAACATCAGCAAGTCAAGTATTTCATTTTGCTTTCCTCGTAGCTTCCCAGCTAGCTATAGTGAAGTAAAAATACAACATTCTGCTCAAGAACTGAATAAGTTGAAACTCGGAGGCAAAATAGGCCGTAACTATAGTTCACAAGGTTAGAGACTTATATTCGAGGCACAGCTACTGACATAACCTGCCACAAATTAGTAAGAAATTCCTATGTGATTGTCTAACCCACATAATGTACTATTAGGAATCCAAAAATTTAAGTCAAATGGACTGAAACTAAAAACAATGTTACAGACCAAGGATATGATAGTCAGATTTTTTTTTGACTTCAGAAGGAAAACTATAGTTAAGAAAAATAGAATTAGGATATCCCACACTTTCCTTCCAATAGACTATCGCTCCGCAGATGTTGCATTTAAAAATCATAAGTCTCATATAACCTTGGAAGTCTGAGATGAAGCTGAGACAAATAATATTTTTTGCTGTGAGAAGAAGCTATTATTTCTCTACCTCTTCATAACTGCAAAAAACCGGACAAAATGCAATAGGTCCTGCTTAGTAAGGTATGAATCAAGTCTTTTGAACAAGTACGCTCCAGTGTACATCACTAATAAAAACCAAACAAATATCGTGAACTCTATCAGAAGAAAAGTGGGTGCAAAGTTTGAAAAAGAACAGAAACTCTTTAACTGGTGTTGCTACCAAAGCCCGTTTCCAGAAAAGGCACAGTAACAAAGAAGCAACGTGATATGTTACATAACAGAATTTCAAAAACTTCTTCTTAAAGCAGTCCACACTAACAATGTTGACAAGACTGAGTTCACTACTGGAGATGTTGGGGAAATTGTTGATTCCAGTCATCACCATTATTGTTTTTACTGAAGTCTAGAACATCTCAGGAACAATAATAAAACAACTTGAGCTTGCTACTGTCATCTACAGAATAGAGGGAGTCCTTTGTAGCATTTATTCTGAACAGGAAAAATATCCCAAAGCAGACAAAAAAGTAAATTAAAATCAATTCAGAAATCTTCCAAAAGTCTTACAAGAAAATAAAAATATGTACAAAGCATTGGCAAGACCTCATCTGGAATAAGTGTGTACAATTCTTGTCATTCATAGTCAACAAAAATGAATTAAAAATAGAACTTTTTTTCCCTCTGACTACTCCTTTGGTCTGAGGAAAAGAAAAATAAAAAACTCCCAGAGAGTAAAATAGCTTGGTTTATTGGTCTTCCCCAAAATAATGTTGCATCCGCATTCAAGTGTGAATGTAACTGGGACCATGGAACAGACCACAATTTGGACTCTTCCAAATTAAGCAGAACTATATCGCTCTTCCTGGAGTTCCAGAGAGCAAGGGTCAGGTGGAGCCTGTCCTTAATCTACTTGGGAGTGATTTTTGAATCTGAATTCAGACAATTCTATGAAAACAATCTTTCCTGCTTTTACTGATCTCAGTAGCCATACCTCAGTATATTAGCTATAAAGTTGTGAAACCCCCGTTTCTACCACCCATCCCCAGCATATCAAAATCTATGGCTCAAATGGCTAACCAAGATCATGTCTGCAGATATGAGGACCAACAGAGAAGAAAAGATTTAGTAACCTATTAAATCCCTTTGAATTCTACATTCCAAAGCAGTTCAGTCTAAAGGTTAACAGGAAAAAGGAAGAAGTTGCTCTTTTTCTAAAAGTGAATTGATGGAAAGGAGATTAATTATTTATTGAGAGTCATATCTTGCACAATAATCAGGGAAGCAAAGCACTATCCCTGTCAATAATAGGTTGTCTTTGCTGCCAAAATTATGAACAGAGACATCAAAAGAGTACTAAAAGAGCAAGACTGTCAGGTGAATGGGCTGCAGAACAGCAATCAATTTTTTTTTAATGTACCAAATACCAGTTTTGTGAGGCTGTATTTAAAGTGTAGATTATATGGTAACTTTTATACCCATCTTTAAGCATTCATTCTCATTTCAGTAAATTGCAGGAATACTATAGTTTCCTCCAATAGAATGGCTGTAATAATAAAATACTAATTCATAAAATATGAATATTACCATAAGTGCCTAAGGTAATTCCCACATTTAAAAATAAAACAATAAAATAAGTCAGCTGCATAGTCTAGGCCTACAGGCTACAGACTAGTGACGCCATTTAAAGGCAGAACAACAAAAGTTTGATAAATCCAATCTCTACAAGATCTAACAATCTCAGACACAATACACAGCTCCTTTTTACTTTGGATTCTGGAACTCTACTTTAAAGAAATTTTAAAAAAAATAAATAAAAAGGAAGCTAGAGATTTTATCTGCAGCCTAAGTCTAGGACAAACTTTCTAATTGTTGAGTGGTCCTCATTGTGAAGCAGTAAACAAACTACATGCCAAATTTGTTCCTGATTGTTTAACACAAGCAAAAACAGTCAAAAAGATATTTAGTGAAAGGTAATGCAAGACACATGTTTGATGAGAACCCTGAAGCAAAAATATGATGATTCCCTTTCCCCAGAATAATATTTAGTTAATGCATGGAATTTTGCAATGACTCTTTCTTTCTGTTTCTCATTTTCACTGCTAGCATTAAGGAAAATTATCCCATGGTTCTCACTGGTAAGGAAAACTACTGTACACTACAAAAAGTCATACCAGCAAACTCCACTGTACAAATACTATAGCTTGTAACTTTTGCAGAGAGGATGCAGAAACCCCAAACGTCCCAACATGATCGTACGAGACTAGATCAAGGCAATAACGTGGTAATCTTCTGGCTAGGCCTTGTGACAACAGTTCTTTCTTGCTGATTCAAGTCTATTCCAAATGTGAAAAATGGAAACAAAGTACAGGACCCATCCAATCTTTTACATATATATCCTCCCGTCCCTATAGATGTAATGTAAAATACTATGTTCTCATAATTTTATTTTTAGGTAAATCCAGAAGTGACTTTTGGCTGATAGTGGCAGTTGTGATAGGGAGAACAGGGACTATTTCAAGCCGTGAGGACATTGTGGTACAACAGGAGATCAAATATTTCTAATTAACACTTAAAAAAAGAAAAATGTGCATGACACCCAGTCCTAAGTTCCTAACAGCATATCCCTGTCAACCGTACGTCCTGATTTAACTGAACTCACCTTTTACCACAGATCATCAGTTACTAAGTGTAATTTTGAATACCAACTCACCTCCTTACTAACTCATTCAAATCTGAAATTCATTCTGTAAACTAACTTGTTACTTTCCCAATCAAAGTTTGTGTACTATACAAAGAGACACTTAAGGTTTCAAATCTTTTTTCATCATACATTTCTAAATGAAAGCTGGAGTCATGCAGTGCAAATTAACACAGCCAGCAGTCATATCTGCCAGTGTGTGGACGCTGCAACTTTACGCTTGAGTGTCAAGATTAAAATTTTCATTCATCTTTCATTCTTTCCCTCTATCCCCTGCTCTGCTTTCATAAATAAAGCTTTCAACCTCATGGATAAGAAATAGTTCTTGTCCTTTTATGTTGTTTAATCACTAAAATGCCATAAAACTGTTACCATAGAAGGAGTCCTTTACTATCAGATTGTTGCCTCAGTTAATAT